TAGCTCGCAGTGTAATAGTACATGTGAATTATCTTCCACTTCTCCTTTACAAATATGTGTGAAAATAACCTTGCTCTACCCAGAAGGGACCCTTTGTATTTATCCTAACATCAAAAATCATTTAGATCAGATGGGAAAAAAAGTCACAAGGTACAACTGGATAAAATTATTGGAACTGCCCAGTTCCTTTAAAAAAAAAATACATTTATAGAATGCTTGAGAGTCTCTCATGAACAGCCATTTTACTAGAAGCAAAAGCTGACAATGAATTTTCTTACTTCCTAATCTGGCTGTGGTTTTGCTAAGAAATAGACATTTAGTTTGTGCCGCTCATGTCTTGACTGACAGATTTCCTACGGGACTGGAAGATGTTTCAAAATATCCAGACTTAATTGAAGAACTGCTGAGGAGAGGCTGGTCCAAGGATGAACTCCGAGGCATTCTGAGGGGGAACTTACTTCGTGTTTTCAAAGAAGTAGAAAATGTAAGCGCTTCTCGTTCGAGGACATTTGATTCTTAGCTTTGCTCCTTAGCAATATTAATTCCTGATGGCAGACACCCCGATAGATCTTGGCGCCCACAATGACAATCTTAAATTGTCAGTGGACATCATAAAATGCTGCTTCTCTTGGTTGAAGGATGGTAATGAGCTTGATGTTTGACGAACTAGAGCCCTGATGGCAAACCTATGGCCACAGGTGGCACGCAAGGCTCTCTCTGCGGGCACGCCAACAGTCACAACAGTGCAGCTCCACTGTGCATGTGTGTGCACCTCCCACTGGGCAGCTGGTTTTCGGGTCTCTGCTTCGCATGCGCGGGGTGCATGTGGGGGACGTGTGTGCACATGTGCGTGGGGTGCTTGCATTGCATTTGGGGGGTTTGAGCACATGTGTGCATGCATGCCGCCCCATGCCATTTTGGGCCTGGAAGACCTCTCGCACCACCTTGGAAGCCAAAACGGGATGTGGGAGGGGCACAAGGTGCCTCCATGCCTCATTTTGGGCCTGGAAGGCCTCCTTCCCCAACCTGGAAGCCAAAACAGGGTGAAGGGGGCAGGGCGCATGCCCGGAGGGTGCTTGCATTGCATTTTGGAGTTTCACGCACACACTTTGCCCACTCAGCACCAAAAAGGTTAGCCATCACTGGCCTAGAGTGGCCCCAAAGAGGGAGGTGGGTGGTGCACAAACACAATAATTACGATTTCAGATGTTTGTATTTTATGTGAAGGGATTTGTGAGTTTGGCCTTAACTCTGAACTTCCCTAGGTGAAGAAGAGCATGCAAGAGAAGGCAAGCGAAGTGGAAATCCCACTTGAACAGGTGGCTCACAACTGTCGCCTAGAGCTGAGGCCTCCAACTTCATCAAGGAACAATTCAGGCAGTCTGATTCGCATGGGCCTACTGGAAATCTTCGTCTTTACTCTAGGAATGTACATGATGCTACCCTGATGTTGATTCCGGCCACAGTGCCAAGAGCTGCTTCTTCCCAAGTTAAGACAAATACGAAGAACAACACTATTTATTGCCACTAACTCTGAGACCGTCAATGCTCCCTGCTTCATTTGCACAAAACATTAAAAGAATGACCCAAAAGTGCTTTCTCTGCACAACTGGACCTTCTTGGGTTTTTTTCTCCTTCAAAATGTTTCACTTCTCATCCAAGAAGCTTCTTCAGTTCATGGATGAGAAACGAAATGTTTTCAAGGAAGCCGAGATGGCGCAGTGGTTAGAGTGCAGTACTGCAGGCTACTTCTGCTGCCTGTCGGCTGCCTGAAATTCAGCAGTTCAAATCTCACCAGACTCAAGGTTGACTAAGCCTTCCATCCTTCCAGGGTGGGTAAAATGAGGACCCAGATTGTTGGGGGCAATAGGCTGGCTCTGTAGAGAGGGCTGTAAAAGCACTATGAAGTGGTATATAAGTCTAAGTGGTATTGCTAAGTGCTAAAAAGACCAAGTCTAGTTGCCTTTTGGAAAAGCACTGATGGGACATCCATGACCTCTATGACTGAGACTCTCCATAGATGTTCGCTAAAAGCATGAGAAGATTTGGGGGTACCAAAGGAAGACCTGCTCTAACAGATTCTTATTTTCCATACACATCATCTGGGTACATGCATACTTACATGCTTAGCTCAGAATGAAATCCTGTCACATTCACGATGATATTTAATTCCAGTTAAATTCTGTGGGACTTCCTCCAAGTTGTTTCTTCAAGTAAATATGAATGGATTAGTATTGTGAATATCTTTTTTTCTTTTTGTTAATCCATGTGATGGCGTAGGGATCTGATGGCAAATGAGACCATTTGACTGACAAGGGGGTGACAAGGGGAGACAGGATAGCAGTCTTCCAATATTTGAATGGCTGCCACAGAGAGGAAGGAGTNATATGCTGACTCTGTAAACCGCTTAGAGAGGGCTGAAAGCCCTATGAAGCGGTATATAAGTCTAACTATTGCTATTGCTTATATTGGAATGTACAAACAGTAAATATAATTATAGAAATCAATTATAGAAATAAAAAATAATTATTAAAAGTAATTTTAAAACATTCTTGACAATTCGCTTTTTTTTATGATGTTCACTGCTTAACTCCTTTGAAAAGTTGGACATTTTTATTTTGGGGTTAAGAGGAGCAAATTAGTAACATTAAAACTGTTGCATTAAACTTATCAAGACACTGGTGAAGGGGCGCATGCGCTCTCCGATAAATCACACGACCTCAGGGCGCGTGCGCGAATCTGACGCTCTGGATCTCCGCTGACTATGATGCAAGACCTTTGCTTTCCATTATTGGCAGTTGAAGGAAAGTCGTTCCGTCCTAGAGCGGAAAAGAAATGAAGCGGTGACGTCACCATAAATAAAGCGGGCGCGGTCAGAAAGAGGAGGAGCCCGGAAAGGGAAACTCGGAATGACGTAATGGTAGGCACGTAGAGCAGGAGGGCCAAACTGTCTCTCCGACAATCTGGGCGTCGGAAGAAGACGTCATTTCCTGCGCGCTTTGTTGCCATTGAGAGAGAAAGAGGGCGAAGATGGCGTCGGCGAGGAGCCGTTGGCTGTGGCGCTGCTGCCGCGCCTTTTTCGGGTACTTCTCGCGGCTTCCGTTTCTTCCCTCCGCTTCCCCGAGCTCCGAGGCCGAGGGGCCTCCCGGGAGGCCGAGGCTCTTCTTCCCTGGGAGCTCCGGGTCCTTTTCAGCCTCCCTTGGGCGCTGCTTAACTCGGGCCTCTCCGGGTTGGGAGGGGTCCCGAGGCACCTTGGACCTCCGTTCCCATCATCCGCAGCCGAATCTCGCGTGGGTTTCCTATTAGAGTGGCTGAGCGTCCTCACAGGGGGGGCGGTTGGCTCTGGGTGCAAAAGTCGCTTGCGGGAGAATTGGGCCCGTCCAGCCTGATGAAGAGACGCCACAGCAGCCACGCCAATACCTCAGGAGGGGCTGCTGCTGCCGTGGAGCTCTCGCCTCACAATCAGCAGGCTGTGAGTTCGATCCTAGGTAGAAGCAGGTAGAAGGCCTCCTGCTTGTTTTGCTGCTCTCTTCTTTTATTGGGGTGTTTATGTTGTCCCAGAGTCACAGGGAGAAAAGGGGGAAAAAAGGTGGGTGCAGATTGATTGCTGAATGTCCATTTCAAAGTTTGATTATGTCAGATCTTCTCCATTTATTAATTAGGAAAGGAAAACCATGAGACTCCATTCGTAGAAATCAAATGTAC